GTTTAATCACTGGAAAACAATATTTTTTTTTACATAATGCTCCCTAGATCTAAACAGACACAATAAATAATCGTCTTCTTGACGTTTCCATGACATTTTACTTTAATAATAAAATTATGTTAACCTGTAGATCTCAAAGTAAATTCTTTCAAGATACATTTATATTTTTTTAATACTAGTGGTTTTGTTCTACAAACCCACAAAAAATTTTAATTTTTGTTCTATTCTTAATATTTGTCTACCAATTTTAAGTATTATTTATAAATTACTGTCTATCAAAAAAACATTTTTTGAAAAACTATTTGTAAATATTTGTTATTTTGGAGAAAATACTTCAATTGCAATAACAACTAATAATCTAAAACATATTTAGATTATACAATATGTAATTTCAACAATAGTAACCTCTGTGTTATGTTTTTCACATAAGCAAAATTACAATAGTATTATGATTATAAAATATTAACAGAATATTTTTTAATTAAGTTGTAATTATTTTACGTATCTACTAAATAATTATGTTGCTAAAATACTTTTGAAAAACTACAAAAGCTGGTTTATGTGAAGCCAACATGAATTTCTTGCACTAGAATGAGAAAAAAGTGATTTGGTTTTAAAAGTTTTTTTTTTATTTATTGTGATTTATTGTGAGATTTATAGTATTTTTACTTTATCCTGTATAATGAAAATACCTATCATTATAGTAATATGGAGTTTTAAAAAATTATATTTTTATCAATTTTTAACAGACAAAAATATGTAAATTAAGTTTATTTATTTTCATTTTGAAAAAAAAAATAGTATATAAATATAATAGAAAAAGTTTTAAACCAAATAAATAAATTTTGAACAATAGAATAATGTATTATTATTATGATATTATTTAGCATGAGTAATTGTGTTTGTTTCAGTTAAATAATAAATTTATAGGAAACTTGGAAACTAGTTAATAAGCGAGAATAAAAAATTATTACACATTTATGTATATATAGAATGTAGATACTAGACAGTGGTTTTATAAAATTATACAAAGAAACGATTGAGATAGTTAGGTACTTAAAAAAAAAAAAAATGTTTTCTTTTAATATAAATTTAATATATAATATAATTTTTTATGTTGATTATATACAAAAACAACAGAATTTTATTTAAAGTATTCGATGTTTTGTTTAAACGAATATATTTTAAATTTATATTTTAAACCCGATTAGAAATATAACTATTTTTATCATTAAATATTTGAGCTATGATAATAAACATATTTCTAACCTATTTATAAGTATAGATGATGTGTATTAATGAATTTAATAGTTATGATTTGTTCATGCTTAAATAATAATATAAATTTAAATTAGTTTCTAAATGTCCTATACGATTTTATTCATGTTTTTTTCCTTTAAATATCAATTAAGGAATTAAGGTAAAGTTGCTTCCGCTTCTATCACAAAATTAAGCATTTTAGATTTTATTATTTAAATCTTTTTTGACTTTGGGTTATAATTATTTTTTTTACAAAAATAGTTTTAAAGTATGCATTTTTAATTTAAAAAAAATTATATTTTGCTATCTAGTGAATTTAATTAAATATTATTACATAATATTTTTGATTAAAAACTCTTAATACTCAATTATATAATTGTGCCGATGTTTTTGATGTTGCATGTTAGATTTGAGTCGTAGCTATGGTATTTAACACTCAAATTGATTTTTGTTGTTTAGTTTCAGAAGGTACGAAGTAACTATACGCATAATATCGTCACAATCGCAAATGCAGATATCCACTTTTGAAAATTATACCATAATATGTAAAGTAGGTACATAATATTATATATTTATATAAGTACATGCTACGAGGAAACCGCAATAACGTCACGCGATTTGTGTCGATCAGATAAATATTAAATTACCCAAAAGTCTGAAATAATTATGGTGGTGGAGATTAAGACATAGGCAAGACGGTACTGGGTAGAAATCGGACGAAGATTTTTTGACAGGAGTTCCTAAATTAGATTATTTAATTTCGAACTTTATGCAATTTTCCTATTTAATATGGTGTACACACAATTTTTTTCAATGTTCGCATCAACAATTCCTTTATTGAAAAAAAAAATGTTTATTTTGTTTATTTATTTATTTTTTTAAGCTTCCTGTTCTTGAAGAATGTTTCAAGTCTTCATCATAGTTAAAAATTTATTGGTTTAACCTTTTTTTAGTTGTTCATAAAATAAAGTGTGTTTAAATAGTTTTCAAACGTTGATTGACAAATGGAGTTTCTAAAAGCTTTTTAAATCTTGACCTCAATTTGAACTGTTTTCACAAATTAATTTTTTTAAAGAGAGATATTTAAAAATCATTTGACTGTAAATAAAAAAATGATCTTTAAAACTTTTAGAATTGTTTTTCATAAGCGAGAATTTAGTATTATATATTACTGACTTGTAATATATTTTTACTTTTAATCAATTGATTTTATTTGATCTAAAATTTTATTGATGTATTTTTATTATTTTTAAATTATTTATATACATATTATAAAATTTGTGATAACAATTTATCAATTGATAATTATAAGAAAATAAATTATCAACTCGATATTTTTTCAGAGATTATTGTACATAATATAGTGGTATACATCTGTACATTTTTAGTTTATTTGATAAACCGATACGTTGCAAATCATTATTAGTGTAAATTAATAAATTAAACTGCTAATATACTTATTAGATTTTCGATAAATTATTAGAAATTTTTTTTTAAGTTCTGTTTGGTTAAAAGTGTTATTTGATTTGATTCACAGAAGCTTCTTAATTTATTAAAAGATAAAAAGAAAAATGTAATATCAATGATGTAAGTGATTTTGAAATATAATGCATAATATGTCAGTGTAGAGTTAACTTATACTTTAAAACTGATTTGAATAAGATTAACTAGTATTTACAGTTTAAAATAAAAAGGTTTTGTTGAATAATTTGATAAAAAAAACCAAAGAACTATAAATATATGTATATTATAAATTACAAGTGTTCTCGGATCGTTATTCTCAATAAACATAAGATGTATAATCAACAGCTATAAAGGTCATCAGTCACAGCATTGGATCGTTAATGTTATTTATAAGTAAGAGTAATAAAAACTTAAAACTATTTGAATTGAGATCGAAACGTTACGATCTGATGGTGAACATAAAAAAAAGGTGTTAGTGGTAAAATAATGTCTCAACCGTGATTTTCTCGTTGGAATGGAAAATACTACGTATAATATATACGTGCCGCTGATAATATTATACACGAGAACGAATGTAAAATATCAGAAATTAGAAAGAGATCATTATTACATATATTTAGTCGTTACATACACTTTAGAAACAGAGTTAGGTTTTTGTTATATTTTTTTGTATGTCTATTAAAGGCAAGATCATTTAAGTATAATTTATTTATATTCAAATATATGAATATTTTGTTTATTTATACACGAAGTTTTTTTTAACAGTAAATGACTTGGCATGGATTTACGTTACACAAAAAAAATATATTCGGATCACGTTCCGTTCCAGGTTTGTATTATAAACAAACACATTAAATACGAAAAAAATCCAGTTGTACGTGTGAAATTATTTTTAAAAAACCTCATCAGCTGTTAATTTATTTGAAATACAAGAAGAAACCGTTTTTAAGAATTAAGTAGATACATATTACACAATAAAATACGTCTTATACATACAAATATTATTTTATACCATAAATATTATTTTATTTTAAATTTCAATAGAACATAAAGAATTAACGTTTTTTAATACACAATTAGAATATACTTATATTTTTAATAACTTTCCCTGAATATATATTACTGCAAAGTAAATTAATTTATAATAAATCTAATATATACCTACAATTTATAATTTAAAGTTTTTTTAATACGAATATTTCATAGATTCTATTTAACTTTATGATATTATTGTATCATCTGTGCTATTGCAAACACGAAACTGGAAAATTAATTTTCACTAAAACTAAGGGGACCAACAAAAAATTGTATTAATTCATATTTATTAATAAGAAATCTTAATTATTTGATTCTTAAGAAATTAATTTATAATTACATAATATTTTAAAGGAAATTCCCAAGTAAATGAAAAGAGAATTAGTTATAGGTTTTGAAAATCATAAAAATTAGAAGATTAGATTAGGTTAGGTCTTAATCTTAAATGGAAGAATTCAATAAAATATAAAAATAAAATATTAAAATTTAACTGTAAAGCAACTCAAAACTTTTTAAAATTAAATAATTAATTATTATTTAATAACTAACTTTCACAATTTCAATTTAAAAAAAGTTATTTGATGTTTCCTATATTATTGTACATTTTATTAAAGGTTCATGATTTAAAAGTAAATACCTATTTTATAGAAAATTAAAAATTATCCTCAAGTAGTATAAAATAATCTTAAGAATCCATAAATATGGTATTTAATTTTTTTTTAAAAATACCAAAAACAGTTTTTGAATGACTGTGTTATTGAAGAAATAAAGAAAAGCATACTTAGCGAATTACTTTGTATCATGTCAAAAAAACTTTAATTTCTTTCTTCGAATTTTGATTAAAAAAGAACAATGTTTCTTTTAAAATGCCTGATTTTCTAATAACATGAAACGTTGAGTTTCATTGAGGTTTCATTAGTTTTGTATAGTCGACATGAACAGTATATTCTTATTGACAGAGCTCTGTGCATTGGCACTTCGCAGAAGTTTATTATAGTGTTGTACTTGTAATTTGATAAAGTTACTAGAAAGGGAAAAAAACTAGATTTATTTTATTTTTTTTGTTATACCCACATACACCGCCTTACCCGTGTAATGGGTTCTAGCACGCATGTCTACGTAAACGTCGTAAACGATTATAAAATGTATAATAATACGCAAGTGTAATATTGCAATTAAATTGAAAAAAAAAAAATGAAAGTCGATATGAATGCATGGTATATATCGTATATTATACGTACTGTGCCCGCATTTGTCGATGTGGTTGGTGGCCTCAAATTCGGGTTGACACAGACACTTTTTATTGCTCCGGTCAATTCTACATATCGACCCGTTGAAATGACAGTCGTCGTTAGATTCGCATTTGTCACCAAATTTTCTCTCTATGACTGAAATAATATGTAAATCAGACAACCATTATTATAAACATTCAGTATAGTGTAAGTGTAGAAAATTAACTGCGCGTTAATGTTATTATTTAAATTATTTGACCGACGTAAAAATCCGTTCGATTAATCCGATTTATATACAACTACAATTGTATGCACATTACATAGGTACGTGTAATGAATGGTGATCACGAAAATTTAATGAGATGTGAACATTTTACTGTAATGTATTTTTATCATAATAATAAAATACTTTATGATAAAAAGAATTATAATTTATAGTTTGATTGTTATTTCTAATATAAATCGCGATAAAAACATAAAAGGTAACCACATTTGTATATTTGTGTTTTGTACTTTCACGAAAAAGAGAAAAGTTTATCACGCTATATTGTAATTATGACGTATAGTACTTGATATAAATAAACAATATTATATATGTTGAAAATAGATAATTATATTACTTACAATCATAAAAATCGGATGAGATAATGATTGTAGCTACACGATGATTTTAGAAATATGTAAACTTACAAGTTTTGTTCAAGATTTCAAGTATATTTTAGATATTATTTTTAATACATAACTTTAAAAAACTATTTACATAACATTGTGATATATAAATACATAATTTCAAATTAATCTTTTTTATTTATTATTACTAGTATTAAATACTTAATTACTTTGTACTACATAATTGGTAAGTATTATTCGTTTATTATTTGTATGTTCATCACGTTATAAAAAATTAAACTGTACAACTTAGTGTATTATAAGTTTTTAAAGAAACTCGATTTGATGAAATTTTCTTATCTTTGTATATATAGTAACAATAATGTTAAAATTAAAATAGTTAAATACTCGTTTATATATCAGTAATAAATATCGATCTTATATTTTCCTAAAAAATAAATATGATAATTTTGTAGATTAACCAAACATATAATTAAATATTATTATTATTTTATTTTATTTTTTTTGATTGTAATTGGTTTCAACGACAAATATTATTAGCTTTTTATTATTAATGTTTTTTATGTGGAAAAAGTTAGCATATAATAAATAAGTTCATGGGAGTATTCAAAATATTATGTTTGAGTATAATCGAGAGACTAGTAATAGTTGATAATTATGTTAAAAATTAAATTGTGTTCATTGAGATATTTAAAATCAGAATTAAATCTATAAATATAATTTATAATTAAACATTTTTTAAAAAACAATTAGATAACTAAAACTTTTTGTTGTAAAACTTTTTTCATATCTGATAAAAAATAATACATTTTTGCTTTTTATCACCTTTGAGTTTATATCCAAGACAGATTTTATTTTATTATATAAATGTATGATTACTATATTTTGATTACACAATATTTATTTTTTTTTAAAATCCTGAGTGGAAAGATAAATGTATTTATTTTACAATGTTATACATCTTATACATTATGTGTATGTATACATGAAAAGTAGTTAAATGCTTTGATTTTCATGATAACAATATTCGTAATATATTGAATTTGCAATAACTAAGTATAAGGTATAGAAAAGGAAAAAGAGAAATAAACAAATTGCAAGATTAATAATCAAAACAATAATAGTATTAGATAAAACTTTAATATACATAGATGATGTATATCCCCCAAATAAAAATTTCATGAGAAAAAAACGATTGAGCTAAAAATAAAGAGAAAACTTTAGGAGTTTGATTTTATTTTAAAATATTTTGAATTTGAATCTTTTTGAGTTCTTTAGAATTTACTATTTTTTCATTTTATTTTACGCAGGTAAATTCTTGAAAATTTTATCCAAGGTTTCTATTATAAGCTATTGATTTACTAATTTTTTTATAGTTTAAAACTATATAATATTTAAATATTTAAGATTTGAAAATGTAATAATTTAATAAAAGGTTTAGTGATAATTATTTATTTGATAAAAAGAAAAATATATCTTCTTTCCAAAAAGTCAAATTAATTTTTTATTAACATTTAAAATGCTGCCTATACATCACAGTGATTTTTTGACATTCGCTGTACAGAAGAAAGGTATTCACTTGTTTACTATTTTTTTTTTTTTTTTATCGAGGTTTTGTATGAAAAAAAAAATATAATAACACGATACGTTAATATTATATAAATAGGTATACTTACGCATAACTATTTATTAAATATTAATCAATTAAAAACTATATATTATTTGATTTTCTAATCATTCGAATTAGTCTCAACAAAATAAGTCATTTATCATGTTTTCCATTACATTTTGGCATTATAAGAATATTTTATGACACAGAGTCCTATCCTGAATAAATGTATAGTTGTTATTGATTTGTTATAATGCAATTCACTTGTTGGTTACTTCAAATAGTTTCGAAAAAACTTCGATAAATGGATTTAATGTTACAATATACAATATGACACTTAAAAAAAAAAAAATCAAAATACCTTATTGTGTGTTTTTCTATTTACTTTGTTCCCTAAACATAATGGTTAATATAGAACTATATTTTGAATAATATTGAAACTTATAAAGTTTTTTTTTAACTTTTTTAAGGTAATTATTTACAGAGAAAATAATTTTTTATTGATTAAAAAAATCAAATTAATTGAAAAATCCACTTAACATAATCTGTGATAAGTTGATTTTATAAGATTGTTACATTATTTTCTGTAGCCGAAGAATTCAATTCAAGCTATATAGTATTGGTTTTTGTACATATTGTTTATTTTACTTAAAAAAATATTGTATAATTTATTTTTAAAGGTTGAATAATAATATGATTTTATTAATCCAATAACGTAAATGTATCGAGTTTAATATTGCAAAAATGGTGCATTTAATTATTTTTACTGTTCAAGGGAAATCTAGGAATTCTAGATTTTTTGCTTTAAGTAATGCATTGTATTTAAATGAATGTTTGGCTTCAAGATGAAATTGTAAGTTTTATTATTTTTTTTTTTTTTTTTTTTTTTAGACATCGTTATATTGAAAAAAAATATCCTATTTTTAACAAAATCTAAATTTTAAAAGTATTTAATATGTATATATTTATAATAATATATTTTTTTTAAGTGTTAGAATTACACGAATAAGCTATCAACCTTGAAATAAAAAATAATGAATATGGAATGAGAATTATCAAAAATAAAATTGAATAGTGAAGTTGATTATATTTATTTTTTATTCGTACAATCTGTATCACTTTTGCCTATACATTACGCCGTGTTATAAATTTGTAACATTTTTAATTTGTGATAATATACTATTCACATAGTGATCAAGTGTGTCAGTAACTTGTGTTGATTGATTAATTCATATGGTAGCTGTTGAATTAAAAGTTGATAAAAAATTAATAGAGTATAAATTTAAAACTTATTGAATATTGTATTTTGAAATATTACTAAGACTAAACTAAAAATGGAATACAATAATAGTATCAATTTGTTTTAAATATTTTAAACACATGTGATCTGATATTTTCTTCGCTATACAGAAAAAAATCGTTCTATATTAAATATGTTTTTGATTATAAAGCAAAATTGTCTGAAAAATAATCGATATAATTGATATAATATAAATTATTTGGTCGCCGTGACAACTGTAACTGTTAGAATAAAAAATATTGATCCAGCTCAAAATATATAAATGTCAAATTGTTGCTAGTCTCTAATAAAATTTCTCGTTTACCATAAGACAGAAAATTCCTGAAAATAATGAAAATTGGGAAAAATGTCTATGTACTATTATTTCCCAAACTTTTTTTTTACTCAAAACCCATTTTAATCTTCAAAATTCTTACATCTGATTAATTTTTTAATATGACGTTTTTGTGGTTTGCTTAAAAACGTTATTTTAGTTACAGTAATTCCCAAGCATCTTTCAAGTATACAAAAGTTAAAAATGCAATGAAAAATTAATTTATTGTATATGAGATATATAAGTATAATACGTATATAAATTATGAATAAAATTGATATTATTCTAATAAGATGAATGCGGAATGCGCTTAATGTTTATCCAAAACTCACATTTGATATAACGTGCATTGGTAGTAATGTGCGATAAAAATTGTTTTAATAATATGATATAACTATGTATAATGTATAATAAGTCATACAACACATTACGATTATGCGACTATTGAAGGAAAATTCATTTGGAAACAGCCATTGCAAAAATTTGGAAAATATTGCTATATTAAATAGATTGTTTGCGCGGTTGTGTTGAAACTGTACAATAATAAATAGGATTTATACTTAGGGTTTATTTGAGGAAAATTTTACTTTGAAATTTCAACATATATGCTATATCAGCTGTTAGATATCTCTTACACGGTATAAACTCAAACATATGTTTTGCATATTTAATATTTTGCGTATTGCGAAAAAATATTAATTTACATTTACATGCTTTTATGGGAAAATTCAACCCTTTGTGTTTTTCTTACGACAACCGAAGATCAATAGATAAATAAATAAATAATATTTTATTAACTGATTTTGCATAATGTGATAAACCATATATTTTTAGATCTTTAAGTATATTTCTGTGCTATAAACTTTGTTACATTACAACCAAAAACCAATCAAAGAAACACACACACACAAATCTTTATATATATATGTCTGTGTGTTATGATTTAATATTTTTTCCGTGTAGCGAAGAAAGTATCAAATACTTTTTTTTTTTTTTATCTAATTTCCAACATAATATTGTTGAATCTCCGTGGTACATCGCCTTGCTGCTTAGTCATTCATAGATATTGTATTTATTTGTATGCCGAGTCATTTGGTATGTTATAACAAAATGAGATTGAAACACGTGGCTTTTACGGGTTCCACGTCGTCGTAGTATTTTGTCCCTTGGGACGTACAATTGCGCGCGCCGACTCTTTGATTGAACACAAATACAACAACTCTGCGGAACGAGAAGTAGAAAACCAGAATAAAAATAGAACGGAAAAAATGTCGAAAGGCCGTTCGTCGTCGCTTCAAAGTAAC